CCAGGCTTTGAAGTAGACTGGTCAGACAGGCCTGAAGCATATCAATCATGCTGCCAGGGTAGTTAATTAAGGTCTTTCTCTGGTGGCTGGATGCCAACTTGGGCAGTAGTATCCCTAAGCTGTCAGTTTGTGTGTACCATACTGATGTTTATGTTGGAGTACCACCACCCTAATTAATTAATGAACTTCGAGCGTACTCTTGTGGGGCTTTGCTTTTGGCTTCTGCCCCACGTATCTGTAACACCTCTTGAAGTATTCCTTTTTAATCGAATGCCCCACCATATAGCCCTACAGGTGGGACTAGTTGGTCTTAGTACCCTCTGAGCTATGTCTCTGTTAGCCTTCATCCTTCCTTCATCCTGGAGGAGAAACGTGCTAAATAGGGCAGAATTTCTGGAGATGAAGGTAAAAGAATAGGGGAACCCTCCATTTCTTTATTGTAGGTATTGCCAAATCCTTTGGAATGGATATGTTATGCCACTATGTGTTCTCCTGTATACTTGTGATGCCACTATCCCTGTATGTGGAAGGAAAGCAGGGATTGGCCCCTTGGATGTCTCTCTGTGCCCAGAGTGGACAACTGTCAAGGAAGAGGGACACTTGCCATGATTCTCTTATGACAAATCCTGACAAGTCATGTTATGTTATTGCCAATTCTGGAATCTGACAGAAATACGGTAAATATTTGGATTATGGGAATAATAGGGCCCAAGCTGCCATAAAGTTTTAATGGCTGTTTCTGTGTTTTCTGATTTTTTGTCTCAAATTATTTAAAAACATCTTCATGCTTTTTGAATTTTTGTGGGGCTCTAGGGAACACACAAAAGGTTCTCAGGAATAGACCGTGATCTACAGGATGCATGTGCCATACTTTTGATCTGCTTTAGGATCCCAACTGGGGATATCTAGCAGCAACTCATGGCAGTCAAGGCTCTGACCATGTAGAGTCCGTCTGGTGAAAGAGTACATGCTCAGGAGCCCTTTCACATTAGAAAGTTATAGGACTTTTATACCATTTTAATTACCATGGTAATATCCTATGGAATCCTGGGATTTGTAGTTTAATGAGGTAGCAGATCTGTCTGGCTGAGAATTCTAAACTACAAATCCCAGAATTCCATAGGACATTTTGGAGCTATTTATTTATTTATTTATTTATTTTAACATACAGGTATATGTGCAACTAAAGACAAACTATGATACACAGTAAGGTAAAGGTTTTCCCTTGACATTAAGTCTAGTCATGTCTGACTCTGGGTGGTGGTGCTCATCTCCATTTTTTAAGCTGAAAAGCCAGCGTTGTCTGTAGACACTTCCAAGGTCATATGGCTAGCATGACTGCATGGAGTGCTGTTACCTTTCCATCGGAGCAGTACCTATTGATCTACTCACATTTGCTTGTTTTCGAGCTGCTAGGTTGGCAGATGCTAGGGCTAACAGCAGGAGCTCACCCCGCTCCCCGGATTCGAACCGCCGAACTTTCAGTCAGCAAGCTTAGCAGCTCAGCGGTTTAACCTGCTGTGCCACTGGGGGCATAATACACAATACTAAACACCAATTAACTAAATCATCGAATGCTAACTAGACCTCACTATAACTCTGACCCCTCCAAATCCAAGCAGTAATGAAATAAGAAAAAAAAATAGAAAGGAAAAGTATATTTTTCTACAATTATAGATTCAAATAAGTAATCGTAGTAGAGTTGCTATTGCCCACAACCACAGATTATTACATTGCTAACTTTCTTATTTTAAAAGTGCACAAATTATTGGTTTGGTTTATCCTTTAAAACCCATGTTAGTTTGGCAATTTGAGCTAACTTGGCAACTTAACAGTCCATTCTTGTGTCATCAGTGCTTGGGTTCATTTCCAAGTCTGAGCACACAAGTATCTTGCTGCTGTTATCATATATTGGAGAAATGGTATTTACATATGTACCAGCCAGTTCTTAATCCGTAACACCCAACAAAAACATCTCAAATCTATCTTTATAATTTTTGAATTAACATGGAAATCTTAGGCTTGCTTTCCTACAAGTCCACCACATATTGAAAAAGGAGTCCTTATCTCGACAGTTCCAGCATTTATTTGAAACACTCTTGATAGCTAACACCTGCACATCATTTTATACATGTTTTCTTTTTCATTACTAGACAAAGTGACATTTCTATTTTTAATCCACATTTCCTCTATATATCCTTTTGATTTTTGTGTCCAAAATCTGGTGCCAATCTTATCATACAATCTTTTGCTGGTTTATCTTTGTCTCTAGTTTCGCAAGTTATTTATACACTTTTAAAATTGCCATCAACCTTACACAATTCTGAATGAAACTCATTTTCTTCAAACTGTATTGCTAAATCTCTTCTGCCCTGATTAAGACTATCCTTAAGTTGCATGTAAGCAAACAATTAAAATATTTTCCTTCCTTGAGCAGCTGCTCTTGAGCTGTCTTTTCAAGCTATAGAACATCACAATAGAACAACTGTTTCTGATTTTGAACTTATTATTTCCTTTAAAAAAGTTTCCTGCTAATATGCTTCTGGAACATGGCCATACAGCCCAGAAAACTCACAACAGCCCTTCTATGAGTTTGGCATAAATAGAGACTTTTTTCCCCTAAGATACCATTCTAAGCTGAAAAGCCAGTGTTGTCTGTAGACACTTCCAAGGTCATGGTATCTTAGGAAAAAAGTCTCTTCTTTATTTATGCCAAACTCATAGAAGGGCTGTTGTGAGTTTTCTGGGCTGTATGGCCATGTTCTGGAAGCATTCTCACCTGACGTTTCGCCTGCATCTATGGCAGGCATCCTCAGAGGTTGTGAGGTCTGTTGGAAACTAGGAAAATGTCCTGTGGAATGTCCAGGGTGGGAGAAAGAACTCGTCTGTTCGAGGTAGGTGTGAATGTTTCAATTGGCCACCTTGATTAGCATTTAATGGCCTAGCAGTTTCAAGGTCTGGCTTCTTACTGCCTGGGGAAATCCTTTCAAGGAAGAAACCATGAAAATGAACAAAACACTCAAAAACAAGGGAATTCCAGACAATAAAAAACCAGGGGCAGCTAATCATTAAGAAGCCAGACCTTGAAATTGCTGGGCCATTAAATGCTAATCAAGGTAGCCAATTGAAACATTCACACTTCCCTCGAACAGACTTTTTTCTCCCCCCCTGGACATTCCACAGATATATAAACCTCCTTTTCCTAGTTTCCAACAGACCTTACAACCTCCGAGGATGCCTGCCACAGATGCAGGTGAAACATCAGGAGAGAATGCTTCTGGAACATGGCCATACGGCCCAGAAAAAATCACAACAACCCAGTGATTCTGGCCATGATAGCCTTCGAAAATTCATAGAAGGGCCTTTCTAATACAGTAAATTCCCAATTATCCAATATCTGTGGGATTGGTAGGTGCCAGATAAATGTAGTTTCTGGTTGCTTGAGAGCCACTATTAAAGATAAGCCTAACTATACCCCATACCATATCATATCATAATTTCTGTATTGACTTGATATTAATATTGAACTATAGTAATTAAAAGCAAATAAAGACAAAGACAAACTTATTTCCACTAAAATTGTTTTATTAATTTAAATAATTAATTCTTTGATTTTTTGTCACTTGCTTGAGAGGTCCAGTTGCTTGAGTTCCAATTAATTGAGAGTCTATTGTATAATGCTTTTTAAATTCAGCATAAGCTTTAACTTTATCTTACCAAAATTAATTGTGCCACGCAAATCCTAAATCATGACCTCCAAGTTCCAAGAATCTCTCACCTTTAAACAAAATCATTTCGTACAGCCACACAAAACAATGGCCTCACAATATTGGGAAATCCCAGATCTCCCCTCTCTTTAGCGTCATACAATCTTTTCCATTTTATTCTCAGTTTCTTTGCCAGAATTCCCATGGGATGTTGTGGCCAAATGACATCATAACACTGTTTAGTAACTGTATACTGTGACCCAGATTCCTGAGATTTTCTCTCTCCTAAGATTAGTCTCATATAGATAGACAACTAATAGATTATGAAAAGAATATTAATTCGTATTGCATCAGCATATCTTTCTGGTTAAGTGTTCAGGTGCCTTCAAATAACCTTCTTGTTGGTATGTGAAAGAAGCATCTAGAACAGATCACTTTGTCACAACACATTTGTGAATACTGAAAATGGTTGAATGTTAAAATAGGTGTGTTCATCATAGCGTATCAAGTGGCATGTGTACAACAGCATGGCAGATTCCAACTTAGAGGGCCAAACTTCCCTGTAATGCATTTCTCTGCTCATGTCAGGGCTTTCCATTCTTGCTTGTCTACCCAGTTGTGTGTTTACATGGCCCTGCTGTTTTGGGGGACCTACCTATCATGTATTCATTTCCACAGTGTTCCAAGTGACTGTTTTGGACAGTGTGAGAGAACCAGAATTATGGCTAGTTTTCCTGACAGATTTGCTGCCAGCCCTGAAGTGGGAAATGTCAACCAGGCCAGCAGAGCACCCTTATTATACAGCTGCTGTGCCTTTTTGCAAATGCCCATTCCCAGATGGCCTTCTCTTGACAGCTTCCCAGCTGCTGCCATTGTTGCTACAGTACTGGGAAGAAAAGGCCAAGTGAGCCAGACAGCAGCAAATTTGTAGCATTACCTCTCCTGGCATTGGGTTATTTTTCATTGCAAGTATGTCTACTCTTCTTCCAAGGAGAGCAGGCAGGATTGTATGTTGGGCATCTCATTTTATTCACACGGTACTCTTACGGCTTGAGATTAGACTGGTTGACATGCCTACTGAGTTCCATGGCCGAGTGGGGGTTTGTACCTGTGCTTCCAGCATTGAAAGCCAGTGTTCTGATCAATGGCTTGAAACAGAGATAATGACTAAAAAGCAATTGAGAAAGCTCTGGAATTTCCTATGTTAAAGACCTGGCTTGACTAGATGTGATATGTCTGAGAAGCTGAATGGACACAAGGAATAGTATAAATGTTTTATCTCCCTTTTAACAGAGCATGTCCCAGCTGAGTTACGTGAACCCTTCTACACAGACCAGTATGAACAGGAGCACATGAAACCTCCCCTCATCCGCCTCTTGCTTTCATCTGATATCTACTGCCGTGCCTGGCGCCAGGTCTTGCCCCCGGGCCCCGATGGCAACCCATCTCCCAAGGATAATGCTGCTTTGCTGCAACTTTTGACCCGTCGTGGCTTGGTGCCCACCTTCCAAGACAAGCCTGTAAAGGAAGCAGACCTGCATCACAAACCAATCAGGCTGGTAAGTCTGCAAACAGAAAAACAAGAGACGTTCTTCAGGTTGCTCAAAAGATTATTGTTTATTGAAGAACACAGAGTAGTTGTTTGAAAATAGTTGTGGTGTGGAAAAAGAAAGGGCAGGTTGTTTTGTCAACATCCCTACCCTCCGTTTTTAAATGAGAGGGAGATGCATCCAAGGAGTAAGAAAGGACAACAACATAAAATAATTTGTCTCATAGACAAAGCATTTAGAATAATTTATGGTATCGGACAGTTAGTGCGCTGAATGTATCTTTGTAATGTTTTCAAAATTATCAGCTAAAGCAGCAATAAAACTGAGGGCACAGTAACATCTTTCTTGGAATTACAGGGGTAGGTCCCTCCTAAATTTATTATAGGACCCTGGGGAATAATGCATGCGGGATCAAAAAGCTGGTGTCTTCCAGACATTTTGGACTATGACTTCACAAACATCAGTCCACATTGTCCAAAGGTCAAGAATAGCAGGAGTTCTGTTCTTGAGGACAACATGTTTTCTACTTTCTTGGGTGAAAGACATTGTCTCTTCAAAAATTCTGAGTTCTCTAGAAGTGGATGAGCAACTTTAAGAGATTTAGGGGAGGCCTCACTAGTCTTCCTGAAAGCCTCTGATTTTTTAAAAACTCAGTAACGTCTGTAGTCTCCTCTGGGGTTGTTGGGGAATAGGGAAGCAATTTTGTAAAATTACCATGCTGTTTTAGAATTGGTGGCTTTTTTAAAAAAACTAGTTTTCTAGTCCTTTGAGGACCCCATTTCAGGGGGAAGAACAGCTTTAAGAAAAACACATAAAATAAAAACATGCACTTATCAAGTCCCTTGGGCAGGTGCCAAAAAGCCCCAAGAAGGCTTATGCATGACACATAGGCTGCATCTGCCCACCTCTTCTCTAGAGCTACGTTCTGTGTATTTGGCCTTCCCACGATTACAACCAGCTCTACTTAACGCTGTTCTAAAACCTAGCCTACAAAATCCAAATGTTTAATCTATGAAAATATGGGAGCATCTTTCTCCTCTTCGAGTTGCTGGTTCTGGTAGGTCTATCATGCAGGTTGCAATAATAGTGAGGTTTCTGTCAACAGAGAAGTGTTGGTTGTCCCAATGTTGTGAATTGGGAGAAAGAAGTTTTCTTATGTAATGTTTCTTCTCTCCATCTCTTCTGCCGTGGAATTTTGTAAGAGCTATAGTTGATGAGGAGGATCAAAATCTAAAACCCTTCTTTCTGATTTTTGTGTAGGTATGACATTTGTCAGGAGTGTAGCGGACAAGAAGGGGATTGGTGGATGCCCTAAGGGCGATACTGTAGTGCCCAAACCTTCTGTCTTACTTGTCTCTAGCTTCTCTTAATAGTAGGAGTGCCATGTGGCGCCGCAGGTTCAGGGTTGGGCTTTTACGTGTTTTAAGATCCCAGCCACCCCGTGGGAACCCTGTTCCCTCATTTTCTCTTTCTCTCTTTCTCTCTCTCTGTGGGAAGGGCCTGGGGTGTGGTTGAAGTCACCCCAAGAATAGCTTTTCCCAGGGCTTTATATTATCTGTCAGGAGAGACTGGAGTCTGCTTCTGCTCTGTTGATGCACCAAGATGTTCTGAGGAGGTGGAATGATGTGTGCTACGTGTCACATGTCATCTGTTACCCGGACTGTGCCAGTTGTTGTAAACTTGTTCACAGTTGAAAAGAGATGAGACTTCTACCCAGTGGTCCCCAAACACCAGAAAAATTCAAGCTTACTTTCACTTTCATGGCAGGATTGTAGTTCCTCGTGGATTGGGGAGGTTAAAACAAGAGCATGACTTGTGCTGAAGATTTCTTAATACACCCTGTGCTTCATTTTACCTTGCTGCCATTGTTACTTTAAAGCAGGGGCAAACGAAAGGGCTGCATATCCTTCTGTCTTTAGAAATATCATATACCAGGCAGGGGGTGGCTGTTTTCTTTTCTCACAATTACAATTCCATCACATCTGTGTTGAGTGCAGGCAGGTAGCAGACTGTAAGTGGAGTGGCATGGAAAAGGTTGAGTTCTTTGGGCAGGAATTCACAAGACAATAAACAGGAAGAAGGGATGCAGGTATATTTGAGTGACAAGTTGGTGCGTTAGCGGCTGGAATTCCTTCATTCTCCTCTATGAAAAACAGAAACTTTGAGGTTAAAGTCCAAAATAACACAGCAACATCGCTGAAGCAGTGAATTTCCTGCTGTGATGAGGTCTGGTTCAGAAAGTGCCACATTAACCAGAGTTACTTCTGCTTTCCTGAGGTCTTCCTGGCCTGTGCTGGGAATACTTAATGCACCTCATGTTGGGATTTCTGCTTTCAATTCTCTGTAGTGCAGCAATTGCTGTTTTTCTGTCAATTGTGTGTGTGTGTATGTGTGTGTGTCTGTCTGTCTGTCTGGCTGGCTATCGGTCTAGTGGGAGGAGGCAGGGGCCAGTGGGAATCCCAGCTGCTGTAGCAGCTCTGCCAACAGGTACCTGACAGGATTGATCTGTTCTGAGTGGGTTTCTCTGGTTGCTATTAATTTTGCTTTGCTGAGTCTGCCAGGGTTGAGAGGAAGGACGAGAGCTCTGGTTGGCTGCAGGGAGGGATGCCCTTTTCCCCTTTGCTTCCTGTTGTGCTGGGATATACTGTTCTTTGAGGATGTTGGAAAGGAAGGATTTAATCTGAGTCAGGGGGAAATGATGGTGGTGACGCTCTTGGATCTGGTATAATTTCAGGAAGCCTCCCTTATGCCCTTATTGTAGGAAAGCATAGACTCATAGAGTTGGAAGAGACCACATGGATCATCTAGCCCAACCCCTTCCATGCAGTAAAAGAGTGTCTATGGACACTCTTTACTTGGGCCCTGAAGGAGGTGTGCCCAATAGAGCCATACCGCCTGCTTTGTGGCATACTCTGATAGACTAGCTATCAACTCTGTCATTATGTCTGGGATTGCTCCAAAACAGAAAGCCTTTGAATTTAGAATTCCACCACATAAGCAAAATCAATTGTAAAAAAAAATTGGCAGGAAGATCTTGCCCCTTCCCCTGCCAGCGGGGTCCTGTTCTTAAGCACACTTAAGCACAGCGGTAGACCCGGCACTGGTTGTGGGGCAAGATGCCTAGAGATTGTAGAAGGCTCTCTGCTGAGAGGGCAGCTGCATTGGAGCCGCCAACCCCCAGATGAAAGGATGGGAGAGCAAAGCTGTGGATTAGTTACTCTGTGGAGGGAGCTGGTAGTGGCAGCCACGTTGGCCCATTGCCAGCAGTAATATTGGAAAGCAGAACTCAGCCAGAGTGGAGCAGTGGCCATTATCCGACTCTCCTGGCCTTATCTGACACAGCCTGGATGTATTTATCCCAGAGAGCTTTTATTTATGTCTGTGCAATTTGGCTGGGTGTAGGATTATGGGGTGATGGCTGGGAGCCTTTATGCCTGTTTCTTAGTGGGAGTGGGCCTGTCCTTTGAAGCAATAAAGCAGCAGCAAGGAGCAGAGCTTTGTTAAGAGAGACCGTCTCAGGGCTTGCCTTCATCGCTTTGCATGTCCCTGCATTCTCCTCAACCTCCCATTTAGGGAACAAGATGTTAAGGAAGAAGGAACTCACCAATAAGCATCCCACAGTCTCTACTCACAGCTGAATAGACACCTTTTTGCTGCTGCAGCTCCTTTTGCTGTGGTGTGGAATATCAAATTGCCAGGAAAGCCTGGGTGTGGTGCAGTAGTACCCAGAAACCTGCATCAGATTTCCTTGCTGGTCTTTCTGTCTCTGCATACAGGTCCTGGTTTGTGTTCCAGTTCTCACTGGAACCACTTGCTCTGGTCTAGTGCTTCCTGATGCATTGATGCTATGTGCTATTTGAATAATGGTCTCTCCCAGCCCCCTCACTATCAGTATACATATATGGTAGTCGTGTAAAAAGATACAGACATACTGGGTGCAAATACATCTGGTTCTAGAATAAATGGTTGAAGTTAAATTTGAGATGAAACCTGAACTCCATTTGGTAGGGTTGTTAGATGATCAACTTGATAGAAAATGTGAACGACTAATGAGAATTAGTCATGGCAGTGATATTATATCTAAAGATGGAAAGAATCAACTACCTCGATGCGAGAAGGTTGGCTTACAAGTTTGGACTTTCTTCCCAGAGATTGTTCAGGGGTTTTAGCAGGAATTCATGACATGTTCTAAGTCATGCAACCCCCAGTACTAAAAGGTAAAGAAATTTTATTGGCTAGCGTTCTCATATCTTCTGCATGGAAAAAGCAAGGATTTGAAGGAGAGGAATTTAGCTTAAGTTTTGTTTCACCCTGCTCCCATCTAGTAAAGTCTAGACTGGGTAAGATTTACTATTTCATTCTTCCTTTTGAACTGGCTTTTCAGGTAAATATGGGATGCATTTGCCCTCTGCAGATATATTTAAAAAGGCTACACTTCTATTTAGGGAATCCACTCAGTGTTCTTGTTAGAAACATTAAGATGCTAGGTTATACCTTACTGCAGGCAATCAGGCTTGAATCTTATTTTTCTGTGTAAGTATTATTGCTGACTTTTAACATCCTGAATACTTGGTGCTGCTTTGCTAGATGTATTGTCTTTGATTGTGATTTTAGTGACTTTTTTCTATAATCAGAGAATAGGTTGCTTGCTAACCGAGGGAGATGTTCCTGCTTCAACAAGGTGCCTTCCAGATACAAATCCAAAAATTTCAGAGCATTGTTCATGTTGTTTGCAGCTGATGAGAGTTCAAGTTAGAAACTTTGGGGGTGACATCAGCCTGGACTAGATTAGATTGTCTAGGTTTTGCTTGACCAGAATCTGCCGATAAAATATGAGCAGCAAATAATCTTCTATCTCCGCCCTCAGCCACGTTTTGATACCTGTATGTCCTTAGTACAGACTACTATGCCAGAGTCCTCCCAGATATAATTGGCTTGTCGACTATCCTATTAGATCTGTCCAGGAGCTGAGGAGGCTGCAGATCTTGGCTGAGATGTTCTTGGGTCTGTCTGGATATTTTGTGTCTGCACTAAGAGAGTTTTCATGCAAAATTCGGAGTGGTGGAAGAGACAGGCAATCTCCATACATTATGGTTAATCTGGTAATAAAAAACTGCCCTATATTGACAACAAGAGCTGGTTGCCTTTGAAGCTTTCATCCAGGTTCATCTTAACAGCATTAAAAGCTTATATCCACTAATCCAGCTCTCTTGTAGTATAAGACTGGGTTAAGGTGGGACGGAGCTTGCTTGGTTGTGCAAAAGGAGAATATTGTTGTGAACACAAGTAGATCCTGAGAGAGTGTCAGTTGTTGAGGGTGTCATATCTTCCTCTCTTCCAATGCTTCATCCAGTGTAAATTGCATCAATCATTTCTTTTGATCACCCAGGACTGAGCCCATTGAGCACATGCTTTGGAGCTCTGCTTTGCCTGGGGAAAGGGGATATACCAAAGTGGGGCTAGCTGTATCACATTACTCACATAGTTGCAATGTAAGAGAGCAGTATGAAATACCAAATGTAACTTGGTAATCCTTAGGAGTGAAGGAATCAATGGGTTTCATCTGCCTCTATATTAGTGGGCAGATATATCTCCTTTCTCTTGTACTTTTCTGTACTGCTGGATATATTGTGTGTGAGAGAGACACTCCATTTAGTGAAAAAGGAAATCTTCTTGGCTGCTATAGTTTCTCTAACTTACCTCTCATTATATTTCATTCCTTCCTGCCACACCAATAGGGTGCACACTTGGCACTAATTGACTCACTGATGACCGCGTATGCTGTGGAAGCCACCAGCTCCTTGAGTGTTGCACCGGGTACTGATCCAGCTGCCATCTCCTGGGACCAGAAACTTCTGCATTGGATAGATGTGGTAATGTACTGATTTGCTTTATCATATGCATACCTTAAGCCCTTCCAGCAAGGAGTTCAGAGTGTGACATCTTGGAGTCCTTGTGGACAACAAGTTAAACATGAGCCAACAATGTGATACGGTGGCTAAAAAACCCAATGGGATTTTAGCCTGCATAAATAGGCATGTAGTGTCTAGATCCAGGGAAGTCATTCTACCCCTCTGTTCTAACTTGGTCAGACCATACCTGGAATATTGGTGTGCAATTCTGGGCACTGCAGTTCAAGGGAGATCTTGACAAGCTGGAATGTGTCCAGAGGAGGGCAACTAAAATTATCAATGGTCTGGAGAACAAGCCTTATGAAGAGCTGGGCATGTTTAGCCTGAAAAAGAGAAGGTGAGAGGAGATATGATGGCCATGTATAAATATGTGAAGGGAAGTCATAGGGAGTAGGGAGCAAGCTTGTTTTCTGCTGCTCTGGAGACTAGGATGTGGAGCAATAGCTTCAAACTACAGGAAAGGAGATTCCACCTGAACATGAGAAATAACTTCCTGAATATGAGAGCTTTTCAACAGTGGAACTCTGCCCCAGTGTGTGGTAGAGGCTCCTTCTTTGGAGGCTTTTAAGTAGAAATTGGATGGCCATCTGTCAGGGGTGATTTTCCTGCTTCTTGGCAGGGGCTTGGACTGGATGGCCCATGAGGTCTCTTCCAACTCTATGATTCTATGATATGTAGGATTATCCCAAATTCCCTGTTCCCCTGACTTATGTGAGTGAGATTAAGACCAAGAGACTTCTAGACAGCCAATTCCAGCCTCAGGCATGCGAAGCGTGAGCTTCTCAGAAGATTGATGGGTTAAATAGCTTGTGAGGCCTTCAGATAGTGATGAAAATACAAGTTGCCCTGAGTTACCAGAATAGTTATAGAGCAGTGGTTCTCAACATGTGCATCCCCAGATGTTTTGGCCTTCAACTTCCAGAAGTCCTTACAGCTGGTTAACCCGCTGGGATTTCTGGGAGTTGTAGGCCAAAACACATGGGGACCCACAGGTTGAGAACCACTGTTATAGAGTATAAATATGAAAATTCTTAACCATTATGAATATGACCTCACAATAATGGGATAACAGATATGTTTGAATAAGAGGACACCCGCGTTGTTGTTCTGTGACGTGTTTGTGGGTGAGAGGAGAGGAGAGAAGGATGCTTCAGCTGTACAGGAATTTGTGAGGACTGAAAAGGTGTTGATATTGCCTGTTCACCACATTTCCTTGGTTGCCTCCCTGCAGATCATCCACAAGATACAACAACATGTTGAACAGGAATGTTCCCAGCGATCTGCTCCTGGGACAGATGGCCAGAGCCAGGCATGCAGTAGCGGTCCCAAGGTGCGTGTGCCTTGCCACTAGGGCTTCCACCTGAGTGGAGTGAGGTGGGGCATTGGGATGGTGTTGGGTGAGACCAGTATCTGGAGGAGGTGTTGGAGGTCGTTTCCAGGCCCTGCCTCATTAACGAAAGTGGAACTGTGGGGAGGCCAGGGAAAAGGGGTGCCTTTTTCCACACTGGCTTTATTCTGTGGACAAGCTGCATCCTTTTTCTTCTTGCTGTGCCTTAGAAAACATTGCTTCCTCCCTCCTAATCCTGAGGCTCAAGGTTGGGGGTTCACCTCTCCCACCCACCATTTGTCCAACCGTATGCCACCCTCACCTTCTTGTGAGATGGCTTTTGTTTTCTTTCTTTCTCCTGGCCAGGCCTGTGAACATTTGTTCATTCTCAAAGCTATTCTGTGGGGCTGGGCTTGTTGAATGTCTGGGTGAGGGGTGGGGTGAAGTGGGTTGGCTACCTGGATTGGCTACCTGGGAAGCCATCTCATTGCCATCTCTGATGGGCACGATGGCCTCTTCACAGCCCAAGGTGCCTCCCTGGCTGCCTATGCTGTGAGTGCTATACAGTCAAGGTGTGCTTTATGACAGAGCTGTCTTTTTCTGCATCTCTTTCCTCTTCTCCCCATGGCCTTTCTCCTTCCTCTGCTTCAGTGTCCCACAAGGTGGTACTGGAAACTGGTTCCTGTAAGTGGGTGGCTTTACTTATTATCTCCTTGCTGCCTCGGCACCTGTGCTGCATGCCAGGGGGACCCAGAGCAAAGGATGCTGGGGGTTTAGGACCGTGGAGCAGAGATGCATGCTGGTGCAGTGAGGGGCTCCCCTTGAGGAATGGATTGGGTGGCAATCCTATGAAATAACTGCCCCTGAACTGGGAGACTCTGGGGGTAGAGGGGGCTCCTGTCCTGCCCTTAGGAGTGGTATCCCCATGAGACACCAGCTGCTGGGATGCTGGTATATCCCAGCATCCTTTGTTCTCATCTCCCTTTCCTCCACAATCTGTGCCTGCTTTGGTCTCTCTTAGCTCCACAACTCCTCCTACAAGGGCAGTTGAGGGGCAGGTTGCTAGTTGTGTGGGGTGGTGAGGTTAATGTGTGTCTTTCTCCTCCTCAGATAAAAGAGCCTCCTTCAGGATCACACATTTGCCTTGGGGTCTGATGGCCAGGCTGCCTTGGGAGAGCTATGGGAAGCCCTATTTGTCTTTTGCGTAGAGGGGTTAAGAGACAGCCAGAGCAGGGCAGCTCATGCCTGGAGCTGCCAAGTAGGAACAGCATGCTAGTTTACATGACATGCCGTTATCCCCTTTCCCCCATGTGTTGCCTTCCATCCCCTTTTCCCTATGCTTGCTGCCCTGCAGTACTTGGTGCAGTCAAGGATGAGACCAAAGGATACTTTGTCCAGAAATTCTGGATGGGGCCCATGTGTTAGTGCTTAGAGATGTGGGGGTCTTCCAGAAGAGAGAGGGTCTCTCAGGGGTCCAAGTGCATGCTCGAAGGCATTCATCAAGTTAGGCTATGAGGTCAACGCAGGGTCCCCCAGTGCCCCTTTAAATATTGTGCCCCCTTTCCCCAGTCTTGCAAGGCAGCACCCCTTCCGTCCTTTCTCCCCCTCTTGCGGGTGCATTGATCAGGCTCTCTCTTTTCTTTGCTATTGCATCCAGCATGCCATCGCTTTTTGTTTGAAGGAGTCGGGGAATAAGCCTCCTGTGGTAATGTATCCCATCGGCGCGCGCACTCGCCCGCCCGCCCACCTGCACCACCTTGCTATCCACTTGGGTTGCTGTTCTAGAACATCCAGCTGTTCCTGCTGCAATGGGCCTGCCCCAACCTTGCCAGTCCTCTTGGAGCTTCAAGTGAAAAACTCCTGTCCCCTTTGACATTTTCTCTGCCCCCTTCCCCAGCCTATTTGCATGTTTACATCACCCAGCAGTGTGAAAGTCCTATTGCCTTGAGAGAGCACCATGCTGTCCCTAGGACCCTGAAGGTGTCTGGACCCATTGAGTCAGTCATTGCCTTTTCAGACACTCAGGAAATCTCAGATTGCATTTCCCCTGTCTGTTAAAAACCCTGTTTTTTCCAGATTTATGTTTGTCTGAGCTTCTGTTCGCTTTTCTTTTCAGAACTTTTAGTTTTGTCCATGTTTTCTCTTTCTGAACAGGTGGATATGGACAGACATAGATTAATGCATGTTCACCTCCAAATGCTCCTTTGTGTTGGCAGTGGGGACTTTTTGGTCTCTACAGCTCTCTCTCTCTCTCTCTCTCTCTCTTTGTTTGGGGACTTCCCTCATTTCATTTCCAACTATCAATTGGGGAGCGGGAAAAATTACTGGGTGCAGTAGGTAGGGCCAGAATTTGCTGTGCAGTACTTGCTGTGTATGGCAAACTATTTTGTGTCCTGCACAGAGGTGCAACACTTCCCCTCTGATCCTCCCTCCAGCTCATTGCAGCAGGAATGGAGGTGCCACATTTGCCTCCTCTTATTTTTTTTCCCTTTTTCTTTTTTCTTTTTTTGCTGGCCTTCTGGTTGTTGGTGTTTGCGTGTGTGTGTGTGTTTGTGTGTACCTTCTCCTTTCCTTCCCCTCTGCCCTACGCACGGCCTGCCCTGCTCTGTGTGTGTCTCTCTAATGCGGGGGCTGCCTTTGTTGTCTTGTCTGCTGTGTCCTGGGGTGAGGACAAGCATGTCTGGAGGGGAAATAATAACATGCAATGATTGCCTAGTGCTGGGGCAGGAGAAGTCATGGACAGCACCTTTGCTCTCTCTACTGTCGAGGGCATATTCTCCCCCTCCCATCAAACACCCCTCCCCATCACAGCCATTGTGGTGCCTATTGCCCCAAACTAAGTCTGAGGTCAGGACCTCTTTTGGAACAGGGGTCGAGAGGAACTTCTGCTCTTTTTTGGGTCTCTGGGGGGGGGGGCAATATAGAAGGGAGAGTGTCTCCTTTGCTATTCCGTCATGGCTGCTTCCTTCACCCACCTCCCCTGCTCCCCTTTCTTCTTGGCTGCTTCACCAAGGGCTCCTGCTGAGGCTCTGGCTTGCCTCCCTCCTCCCTGCTTTATACCCTTTTCCCCTCCCAGCATGCACTCTGCTCTTGGGGTCAGTGTGGGGAAGGGAGGGAGTGAGGGGCCACATTGTGTATGCACATTGGTTTTCTTATTTTATTGGGGAGGACCCTATTCCCTGTTGGTCCTTGCTCCACCAGGTATCCATTCTCAGGAAGGGCTGCTGCATAATGAGTTTGGTTAAGGGCAGAGGAGTTGAGATTGGGGAACCACGGATGAGAGCTGGTTCATTTTTTTTAGATGCCCCTATATGTGGGGCTTGCTTCTGCCAGTGTTGTATTGATACCTTCCTTTCCTTCTGTTCTGCTCAGATCCGCTATCGGAAAGACAAAGCCCTGCCCAAACAGACTCCCTGTTTCCCCCCCATTGCGGGCATGAAGGACCTCTCCAGCGGAGGCGCTGTTGCAGCCACTATCCACTACTACTGTCCTCAAGTCATACGCCTTGAGGGTGAGTCAACTTTGGATTGGAGCATCTATATGTGTTGGGAGGGGAATAGAACCACCATTTTTGCCTCCCTCTTCTTGGTCACCATTAACAGCCATTGTGCCCTTCTCCCTGCTTGACAGATGTATGCCTGAAGGAAACAATGTCTGTGGCAGACAGCCTATATAACCTGCAGCTAATCCAAGGCTTCTCTTCAGACTACTTGGGTGGTGCCTGTTTCCTCTCTTTGGAAGACTTGCTCTACATGCCACCTGCGCTGAGGGTGAGTTCTGCAACTTGAGGAGAAATGTAGAGACTGAGTCTCCCAATGGAGAGGAACACCGATGCTGGGCCTGCAGTGAAGGAGATGGCCCGGATTCAGGTGGCAGCATCCACCTGGAAGCAAAAATATGTCAAGCCTTGCTGAAAGTCTGTGCCCTTGCCCCACACTGCTGCTCATGTGGAGCGAGTGGGGATTAGCACTTGGTGCCAGAGCCCAGCCTGCCGTGGCCCTAATGAGCTTTGGCTAGGTTCTCTAGCTGCACTAATTAGAGCCTGAGACAATGGCTCCTTCTGTGGTGGGTGGTAGAGTGACGCTGGCAAGTCAGGGAGGGGTGTCGGTGGGAAAAGGTTCAGGCAGTAGGAAGGAGGTCTTATCCTCTGTGGCGACTGCAATGAGGGAAAGACATGATTCAGGGTCCTATGGCTGGTGGAGGAGAAACCGCTAAAGAGCAGGGGAGAGAAGGGCCTCCTCTGGCCCAGGAAACGGCATTTTCTCTCCCCAAAGTGGATGTCTAACAAAGTTTTCTGCTTCTCCAGATAAATGTGGGAGTGTTCTTGGCAGAGTTGTTTCTGTGCTTCGAGGTACTTAAGCCAGACTTCGTGCACCCAAAGGAACTGCCTGGACTTCAAGGTAAGTAAATGTCTCTGTGTGGTCCAGTTTTGGTACTGACGAGGTGAACAGCAGATTTCCCTCGGCATGAGGGAAAGGCAGTCTATTCCCAGCAAGGGAGACTATCATGCTCTTACTATTTTTGCTTTACAACAAGGAAGAAACATGTTAATGCAGTCATTAGGCACAGAGTTAGGTTCATTGTGCACTAGTAATTCCCAATAAGTGCATTAAGCATTTGATACAATGTAGCTAGCATGCATCTTTTATTGGTATGATTTTTAATATGAGAATTTGGGTTTCTAAAGCAATAGGAGTGTCGTAGAGGGAAAAAATATGGCATGGGAAGAGAGTGCCAACACCAGGGAAATAATCAGCCAGGTTTTGTTGTTTGACATCATTAGTAGTTCCATGTTTTTCAGATATTTGGTGACCTGGAGATCCAGTTCCTGTTTTTTAAAAAAGCAAACAATTTTTTAAAAAAATCTACGTTTCTCAGGCCTGAGGGGTAAAGGGTGTCAGACTTGTGCAGGACATTAGATCCGGTTTCTCCAGATTTCTGGAGTTGATGATCAGAAATGTGGTATCCTGCTCTCACTAACAAAAAGTTGGAGAGTGGGATATTTTGTTGCTTAAACCAAACACTTTCAGATATGTCAAGTGTGAAGCGAATGGACCACAAAACACCTATTTTAGCATGACCGGACCAAGGGTTTCTTCAGCTTCCTTCATTTGTCTGTGGATTCTGTTAGTAGAGCTGCATTGCACTCACGTTTCTTTTTATCAAGTTCTGGATTAATAGGTTCATGTTGCCCAATCTTTCACAAATAGCATTTCTTAAATTTTTGGCCTTTCTTTGAATTTTTGTAGTCTTGCCTTATGAATAGAGCACATCTTCTTGTGTGTTTTGTATGTTTGGTTGGGACTTTTTATGCATCCTCTTTTACATCTTCTAATTTGTAATAAAGGAGCAGAGTGTGTACTCAGCTACCGTTAATATAGCTTGTATGTGCACATACATAAATGCATAATAATGGAGCTTTATTTTTGATAGCAAGCTTTCACAGCCACTACTTCCCCCAAATCAGTGCCTCCCTGTGTAAATGGAGCCACAGCAAAGCCTGCTGGGATCTGGCATGTCCCAGTCCAGGAACAATGAGCTCCTGTGTGAGTGGAGATTGGAGCAGGTTTCTCTCCTCCACCTTGATACATGTGGCTGGCATTTCCACTCTCTCCTGACCTTTTGTTGGCTTAAGCCTCAGATTTTTTTTCCTGCTCTTCCCCCTCCCTGCTTGTCCACTAAAGTAGATGTTCTCTTTCAGATTCCCCTGGGGTGAATGACCCTTTGACGCCAAACAGTGGGAACAACAGGTGAGTGAGCCTCTTGTAGTCTCACCGCCACTTTCAGATGGTGCTGGGCCCACCCCATTTCGCCTGTGCTGGGAGTGAGACAGTTTCTCTGTACAGGGTTTTGCAAAGGCTGGCTTCCCCCTTGGGATTCCACTTCAACTTGAGTTTGTATAGTGTGGAGAATGAAGGATGCTGGTCTACTGGGCCGTTGTATCCTACTGTTGATCTGCCCCCAGATATATTATTATTATTATTAATAATAATAATATCCTGCTTTTTCTCTCCATATGGAGCCTCAAAAATGGCTCACAGCTAAAAGCACTGTAACTCTTGTTCTTGCCCATAACAGTAAATTACCTTATATTGTGCAATTCCAATCTTAATGTTATTCAGGACTTAGTGTGAAGACTCAGATACTTCAGTTGGTATATGCTGAGGGAGTGCCCCCCCCCCCCCCCCCCAAGCTCCTTGCTGTAGAGGAAGTTGTTCCATCACTAGTATTGAAGATTCAAGAGCCAACATAGTCAGATTTTTTGTATGAGACAAGCATGTTGTCCTTCTGTTCAAGGAACAAAATATCCTGAGTCAGCCTTTCTGGCACATTCCATCAGCAGCTTCTGTGTCTGCCAAGGTTTTCAATACGGGCCCCTCTTACAAATGCTTGGAAGAGTACAGTGCCCAGGCCACAACCTGCTGAGTCTGTTGGCCATAGTGATGTTTATTAAAAACATCAAGCCACCTCCAGACCTTTGAAGCTTAGCTGCTGGTGGCTTCATTCTCCTTTTCTAAGTCATCCTCAGATATCTCGAAAATTGACAAATAGGTTTGGGACATACCTGGCATTCCCACACCTACGTCATTTGGTGACTAAACTGAAGTTGGCATACTTTGGTCATATCATGAGAAGACATGATTCACTGGAAAGTCAAGAATGTTGGTAAGACAGAAGGCAGCAGGAAAAGAGGAGGGCTGCATTCCAAGCAGATAGACTCAATCATGGAAGCAATGGCCCTTAATCGGCAAACCCTGAGCAAGGCTGTAGATGACAGGGTGACTTAGAGGTCTCTTACTCATATGTTGCCATAAGTTAAAGATGAATTGATGGCATTGAATAACAGTTATAACGATGCACTCTACTTGGGATTGGCTTAGAAGAGTTTGGAAACTTCAGCTGGTCCAATGAGCTGCAGCCACACTGTTGATGGAGTAGGTTACAGAGCTAAACATTCCTTAAAGGCCCTCCTTTTCCTATTTATGAACATTATAATCTCTGGTCTCCTAAATAAGCTAGATGTCCTGCCACACCACTTTGGTTGTGGCAGTACACCCGGCTGCAGGACTCTACTCGATGGCTGTGGTTGCTTCTTAGTTGCCTAAGGGCTCCTTTGCACTTTAGACATGGTTTGGTGCAACCTGATCTGGAAGGAGTTATTCCTGCTATCAGGGTGGATAAAGCTCCTTGTATTTTTGATGTGGCTTAGTTAGCACCTCCTTATGATCTTCCTCTGCTCCAGGGGGAAAAAACTGGAGTCCTGACTCTCCTAGAATGGGAGAGAGGCACTCCCTTTCCTGATCAGCTGTAGCTGTTGATCAAGAGAAACCCCTTGAGGTACCTGGATTGAGTTTCACTCAGCGGGGAAAGAGGAAGTCTCTTCCTCTGGATAGAGCTGTGGCTCTCAGATTGCCCTGGGACAGTTGAGAGCATGGTTCTTTATGAGGGGACAGCGGAAGCTTCTGATCTTAAGATTGGCACACATCTTGTTCTATTTGCAAGTTATGGGAATGCCTTTAGGCAGCACATTAGCGGAATGTGTTCATGCAAGTCTGTAAGCAGATGCGCATTTTATTTGCCAAATGAACAAACAGATTGACACTTTCGTCTTCACACAAACATATATGTACGCCCATCCCACATTTAATATTGTGCAGTAATTCTAGTGTGTAAATTCATCCCAAGATCTTCTTACCACCCCCACCCAACAAGTATGGCATTTTGCTTAGGATTGGCTTTAGTACTTGCTTGTTCTTTGCAAGCATCTTTTGTGTATTTGAAGGTTTGCTATATCTTTCTGGGGCAAAGCTTATGTGTGTGAGCTCAGGCTTTAGCTTGTACCCCCCTAACCACTTAGCTACCGTCTTCTTGTATGTGCCTACCAGTTTTGTAACCGTGTCTCTGTCTGGACCTGATTTCTGCTTGTCTCTTGTTCTCCTAGCAGCTCCCCAGTGTTCAACTTCCGTCACCCACTTCTTCCTGGGGGACAGGCGCAGTCTCCACTCTGTGGGTCTTTAGGTGAGACGTTTCACCTTCTGTTTTCCCCAGCATCTGCCAGTATGATGTAGAAGAAGGATTTACTTGATTCTGTTAGAGAACAAAGTTAGGCAAAGCCATTAAAACCCCTTGAGGCATTTTGATCCTATCAGCATCTCTTGTAGGTCTTATTTTGACTAAACTGGTGGTGTTTGTGGTCTGGTGCCAATTCTTGAGCCATCAGCTGCTGGTCCCTGGCATGTTTCTAGGGGGAAGGGGAGAAGTGAATGCAACCAATAAGCATAAATATGTTATTGGTTCCTTGCTTAGTTGGAGAGAAGAGTTCTCCACATTTGGGAGTCTGAGAGGCAGTGGACCAGACCTTCACTTGTTCCCTGGAACAATTGCTGCACATTTTTTCCCATGCTAGCAGGAAAGGTAGCAGCAAGTCTGCTTCAAAAGGCATAAGATAAAGGGAAAGGTTTTCCCTTGACATTAAATCTAGTTGTATCCGACTCTGGTGGGTGGTGCTCATCTCCATTTCTAATCCAAATAGCCAGTGTTGTCCATAGAACCACCGAGGTCATGCGGCTGGCATGACTGCATGGAGCAGTTACCTTCCCACAGAAGCAGTAGCTATTGATCTATTCACATTTGCATGTATTCGAACTGCTAGGTTGGCAGAACTTGGGGCTTAACAGCAGGAGCTCAACCTGCTCCCTGGATTTGAACCACTAACCTTTGGGTCAGCAAGTTCAGCAGCTCAGTAGTTTAACCTGCTGTGCCACCGGGTGTTCCTGGTGTACTTATGGGAGGCATAGTTTTTATAAAATTCTTTCAAAAAATGTGTGTTTTTGTTTGTGGCTCTTGACAAGGGATTGTGGTAATTATGGGTCTTGGGGGATGCCATGTTTCCTATCAATTTATTAGAGAGTAGTCAGCCCCAAAAGGGCTCAGTATCAGTTTCCTTCACAGCCTCCCTGAGTAATGCCAGTTCTGGATTTGGCTATTTTGCTCATAGACCAATGTCTTTCATTTTACAGGGTTTCAGTAGATGGCGGGGGGGGGGGGGGCAGAGAGATTCCAACTATCATGTTTATGTAGGAGATTGATAGGTTTGAGCTGAAAAATTATCCAAAAAATGTAGGAGGCTGGAAGAAACTCTCAAGGAAGTTGTTGGGAATTAATTAACATGAACAAAATCAGCCTGAGAAACTAGATTTTAATAAAAATCTGATTTCAAAAGATTGTTCTTCAGTAAAAGTCAAAAGATTTATACAATCTGAAGAGAAACGAGAGTATTGTTCTGATATTAGTTTGAAATACAAAAAAGAATTGTAGTTTGTGTTCTTTGTTTGTGTGCTTGCAGCCAAAAATGTGGTTGCCTTCAATGTTGTATTTTTTCTTGCAAATGTATGCTTTGCTAAAAACTGCTTTTGCCAAAGTGGTGCACTTCTGAAGTCGAGTATTGTTTCACCTCTTATTTTCCTCTCCCCCCCCCCCCAAGTATATTCACCTCCTTATTTTGATCTAATATGGGATGTCACTACGTTTAAATAGTGATCCGTATGAGTTGTCTACTCGCAGGCCTTGAATGTTGCTCACCTGCCTCTAAGAGTCGCCCTTCATAACCTCCTTTGTGCCTTTTTGTCTCTCTTGCCCATAGGCTCCTTGCATCATTCCACCTCCATGTCCCATGTGGAAGGCTTTGGTAAAGCATGGACCAAGAAGCAGCTCAGGTGAGGAGGTGTCAGGGGATCATGGGGATGGTTTGTGTGGGAAGACAAGAAGGAAGATCCTGAACTTCTTAGCGAGAGTATAGCGTCCTTGGCGAGTTCTACATAATTAAAGAGAAGTGTTTAGGATAATGGTGAGCTCTTGGCTATAATTTGTGCACTGGTAAATTTAAATAATATTCCAAGCCAGTCTGCCCTCCTCTGAGTAGGAGGTGAAGGAGGAGAAAGAGGCAAGGAATAACTGTTCCAGGTTCAGCCATCCCATTCCACTGGCTCTTGACATATGATTAATTGATGCCTGCACCTCCCACATTCACTTTCACCCCCAGTGGTGCAGTGGGTTAAACTGCTGAGCATCTGAACTTGCTGACCTGATCTGAAAGGTCGTAGGTTCAGATCTGCAGAATGGGGTGAGCTCCTGCTGTTAGCCCTAGCAGGAGCTTACCCCAGTCTTTTAACCTAGCAGTTCAAAAACATGGAAATGTGAATAGATAAATAGGTACCGCTCTGGCAGAAAGGTAACAGCTCTCCATGCAGTCATGTTGGCCACATAACCTTGGAGGTGCCCACAGACAACTCCAGCTCTCTGGCTTAGAAATGGAGATGAGCACCAACCCCGCCCAGAGGCAGACATGACTAGATTTAATGTCAAGAGGAAACCTTTCCCTTTACTACACTTCCTACAAGTCAGTTTCCATATATTAGAGCAGAGGTGGATAGCTTAAGAAAGTGTGGAAACTAATTAAAGTAATGAATGATAAAATAAATAATTACACCCCCCCCCCCCAAAAAAAAACCCCTGACCCATAGTTCACTACTGCTTTTTTACAAAATCTGTATAAAAACGTTTTTGAATGGGCATGCAAAACTATGTACACGGGAAATGTACACATTATATAAAGAAGAATTGTGCTTCTTCTCTACCATTCAGGCACAAAAAAGTGAGATGGGTGACTTTCAGGATGGAAAAAACAGATGGGAGATGCTTATTCTTTGCCTTTTAATATTAAAACATGAGCCACAATTCTTAGTACACAAGGAAAGGAATAATAAGTCCAGAGGGGAAGTGTGTATCCCTGTCCATTCATAATTAAAATACATGAGTGTAGGATTGTGGTGGAAGCAAGTAATGTAAGGCTAGTGAGTGGAAAGTGGATGTGGGATACCCAAATGGCTCCTATGTAACCTTCTTCCCCTTTCCTGTCTTTGCAGCCACCCATTATCCCAGGCAGTCTCATTCAGCATCCCCTTTGGCCTGGACAGCGATGTGGACATTGTGATGGGCAATCCTGTGGGCATCCTTCGCTCTGTCAGTTCTGATAGCCTGGCCCCTGCCCTTTACTCCTCTTTGCCTCGCTCCCCTCGCCCACGGGCCAACGAAGTTGCTGAGACTCCCAATGGACTAGTGACCCCATCCCTTCATGGGGCTGGTGGGCACAAGAGCCAAGAGGGGCTTTCCTTGGAGAATGGGCTGACTGACGGGTATTCAGATCTACCCACGATTGAGGAGGCCCTGCAAATCATTCACAGCAGTGAACGCCTGCTCCCCGAGGGAGCGCCTGATGGCTTCTACTTGCACTCGCCAGAGCCACCTAAAGCCTCTGCGCCAGAGAAGGTGCCCATGTCCACAGTCTACCGTTGTCACAATGGACCACCTAATGGTGGAGAGTCAACTCAGGATGGCAGTCTGGATTCTGATGCTGAGGAGGCCTCACGCGCCCCAGGTGCCCCAGATGACTCCACCTCTTGTGTGAGTTCATTAAGCTCACAGCCTGACAGTACGGCATCGTCAACCTCTGGCGTGCGCATGACCAGCTTTGCAGAGCGTAAGAAGAAGTTGGCAGCAACAGACAGCAAGTCCAGTGGAATCAGTTCCGAGGGCTCAGAGACAGGACCAGTGCCACCAGATGAAAGCCCTGCCCAAAGCCCTGCCCTCAGCTCAGAGATGAACCAGTTGGGTGCCCGGCTGGAGGAGAAGCGTCGTGCTATTGAGGCTCAGAAGAAGCGCATTGAAGCCATCTTTACCCGGCACCGCCAGCGTTTGGGCAAGAGTGCCTTCTTACAGCTCCAAAAAGCGCCTGATTCCCAGGCCCAGTCAGAGGACAGCCGACTCACCCTGGAGGAGCGTCTTGCCCAACTGGAGGTGGAGGATGAGGCTGGTAGCCCACGGACTCGTCTAGAGAATAAGCAGGTGACCTTCTCCCCTGATATCATGAAGGGAGGACTTGATGAGAACCTGGGCGATTACAACCGGGCAGTGGCCAAACTGAACACAGCTCTGAGTTCCTTGCAGATGGACATGCAGCGCCTGAGTGAGCAGCAACAGCGCCTCATGCAAGACAAGAAGCCCAGTGCCCAAGCCTGGGTGATCCCAGCCCCAAGGCCCAGCCGAGAGGGTGCTCCACCTCGTTCCTCTGTGGAGCTGTCTTCGCCTTCGCCTTCACCATCCCCTTCCCGCAAATCTCGTTCACCTCAGCCCACCCCCAAGAAGTCTCCAGCTCCTGCTCCCCCCAAGAGCCCCAAGCACACTCGGCCGGTAGAGCTAAAGTTGCCACCCCTCACACGGGTTTTGACGCCTCCGCACAATGTGGATACCCTTCCACACCTCCGCAAATTCTCACCCAGCCAAGTGAACGTGCAGACTCGTTCTTCGATCCATTTTGCTGAGGATGAGGAACTGCCTGTACCAGAAGCAGAGGGTCAGAATAATCTGCGACCTGTGGCCTCAGTGCCTCCCCAGGGGGGTAATCCCCGTGTTTCAGGTGATGGCACCAGTGATGTTTCCTCACCCAGTGACCGCCGGAGTAGCCTGATTGAAATTCCCCTGTCCAGCTTGAAAGGGGAGGAGGAAGATGATGTTGATGGCGATGACTCTCTGGAGGAATCCATTGCTGAGACTCTGGATTCTGAGCCACGTTCTGGTCTCGGCTTCTTCTTCAAGGTGAGAATGAGACTCTTTGGCTATTTTGACCTCTGAGGTGGTTACCTGAGCTTTCCACTTTGGGCAGAATTGCTCCTGAAGAAAGTGAGATTTGGAAATGGTTTTTTCTGTGGGACCAGCCAGCCCTGAACTGGAATGGGGTAACTACAGGAAAGAGGGCTGATTTAGGTCTTAGCAGAAGATGATGGGAATGAAACTGTAGGTATATGTTTGTGTGTATACTAAATTCTTAGGTCCCAGATCTCTGGGGAGCCTGGACAGTGGGGAAAAAATAACCATTTGCAAAATAAATGTGATGTCTTAGCAGCCTAGACACCAGCTTTAGTCTTTTATATGAACCAATATGATGTCTTAGCAGCCCAGGCAGCATATTCAAGTTCTTTATATGGACCATATGTATTAGTATGATTCAGATATGCCGAAGTATACATAACAAACACTCTGAGACAAGAAGTCCGAGACTCCAGTGTAAACCACAAGAATAACAAAGTGTGAGTCACTTCAAAACTTGTTTAAAAAAATAGTCAGATTTGGTTTGTACGAAGATTGAGGAAGAAGGGCCCAATTTAGCATCTCCCCCTGCAGTCCATTTCTCGGCAGCCCTAGATGAGAGTTTGGCATAGGGGAAAGCTTTGAAGTGTACTAGGAAGCCTCCTGGCAGATTACGTGCATGGGTCTGACCAAAAACTACATCTCCTCCTCCCACTTTTTAAATTCTTGGATTAAGAAAGCAAGGGTACATCAGAGGATCTGCCTGTTCTGCCACTGACCGGCTTGGATCCCACCTGGAGAGTCTGCTGCTGCTGCTGCTCTCTAGTGGTGGCACACATTTCTGCAGCATCTTGAGCTAGTTGTAAGAGAGACGCCTGAACTCTGGAGCCAGCGCTGAGCCTGATTACAGAGTTCAATTTCTGGGTGTGCCAACCATTGCTGGGGCTGCTTGGGGGTTGGTTGAAGAATCCAAAGTGGTCACTCCTGAGACTTTGGCCCATTTAATTCTGTTTCAAGTCTTTATAATCCTATGACACCAGATGTTTATTCCTGAAATACTAGCCCCATCTGCAGATGATGCGAGCTACAATTCAATGGGGGCTTATAGCATGCAGGGACAATGCAGACCCAGCAAGAATAGCAGAAGTGGGGTGCAAGGATCCACTGCAAGATGCCATTGTTTAGGACCTTTGCATAAAAGGGAAGACAATGGCTGGTTCCAGCCTGATGCTGATCTGGGAAAGGGGAGTGTCGGCCTTTCTGGGGAATTGAAGATGATACTGTATTTGTCAGGACCTCTTGTTCCATGTTGATCATCTGTGTTTGTGTAGGATGAAGAGAAGCCTGAAGATGAGATGGCACAGAAGCGGGCCACCTTCCTAGAAAGGCAGCAGCGGCGCACTGATGAGGCCCGGCGCAGAAAACAGTGGCAGGAGGAGGAGAAAGAGCAGAAGAAAGAGGAGGCCAGGTGAGGAGAGATGGGGCCAAGTCACTATCCTCCCCATTATTGGCCACCTTAGAATGGCAGCAAAAGGGCAACGAGACTGTTTTGCTATGTTGTAACACTGTCCAGATCTAGCTAGGCTATGTGCATTGGGACCAAGCAGATATAGTCATGCTGCATGGAACTTTCCATCTTGTAACGGCCCTTCTTCTGGTGTTACTGACAACAGGTTTGGAAAAGTCTCAGTAATTGGCTCTGATTACACAAATTAAGTGTTTGTATGCCTGGCACAGCTGTACATAGTGATACCTTGGAGAAATTGCTCACCTGCCCACATGTGTAGATAGCCTGGTTGGGGTTTCCTCACCATTGCAAAAAAGTGTTTTAGTTAGACTCTACCCATCGACTTAATACAAGCGGCCCTTCAGTAACTTGTGGCAGAGTGGAATGATTCTGTTTGGGGTCACAGCCAAGTCCCCCTCCATGGTACCCTGCCCCCAGAATGAGTTGATATCTCATGCTGATCAGGAGTATTTAGTCCTCCCTGTGTTCATTTGTTGGGTGAGTAGTAATTTCTACCAAAGTGCATTGACATTCATGGATTTGATTTCATCCATTCCATTGCAAGGGGCATATTGAAAGCAATTTTCCAAGTGAATCCTTTTTGATACCTCTGTTTATCATCTTCTCCCTTACCAAGTGCTCCATACCTTCCTTCCTCAGTTGTCAGTATTCCTGCCCCTCTATTAAAAATTCTGTTGAGTTCACAAGGCTGTTTCATTTAATACCCCTCAATTAAAACAAAAAAAAAACTTAGGGGAAAGAAAATAAGTGTCTCATTGTGACATCTTTTCAAATATTTAAACATGACAATTTTAACCTTCCCTAAGCTAAACTTGCCTAGCTCCTTGAGTTGCTCCTCATTGGGCGTGGCTTCCAGACATTTGACCATTTTAGTCACCCTTCACTGTACTCATTTTAGCTTGTCAGTGGTGGTGCCCAGAACTGAACACTGTATCCCAGGTGAAGTCTGACCAAAGCAGAATAGAGTGGGACTATGACTTTCCCCAATCCAGATACTATACTTCTAGCGATGTAGCCTAGAATCACAATGGCTTTTTTAGCTGCTGCATCCCACTGTTTGCTTATGCTCATCTTGTGGTCTGCTAAGACTCCTAAATCCTTTTCACATGTACTGTTTTCAAGCCAGATATCACCCATCCTTTATATGTACATTTCATTTTTTTCTCCCTTACGTTTCTCTTTGTTGGAATTCATTTTATTTTTGGACCAGCACTATAATCTGTTCAAGTCATTTTGGATTATGATCCTAGAATATTAGCTATCCCTCCCAATTGGGGGGGGGGGGTCATATGCAAATTTGATCAGCAAGCCTTTAATTCAATTGTCCAAGTAATTGATAAAGTTGCTGAATAGCACTGGGCCCAGGACAGACCCCTTGTGACACTCCACTGGTCATTCTCTCCATAATGAAGAGGAGCCATTGCTGAGCACCTTTTGAGTTCAGCCAGTCAGCCAATTGCCAATCCACCTAATAGTAGCATTGTCTGGCCCACATTTTATTAGCTTCTTTGTGAGAATGTCATGAGGAACCTTGACATTCAGCCTTACTGAAATCAAAATATGTTACATCAATTGCATTCCCGTCATTTACCAAGTTTGTAACTCTATCAAAAAAGATATAAAGCTAGTCTGGCATGACTTGCTTTTGAGAAATCTGTTTTGACTTTTAGTGAACATGGCATTTCTTCTGAAGATAGACGGCTGAGAAATCCCATAAATCTCTTGTGAAATCTTCATGTATTGGTGAGAGATGCCAGCTGTAGGGCATGTATTCAGTTGATGCAGGGTACTTGCCTGACCTCTTGGGCATTGCTGTTGCCCTGCATGAAATGAAAATTTTGTATTTTGTTGCTTAATGCAGGAATGGGCCGCTTTAGTAGAGATGTTTGTCTGTTATAGTTACTGCTGAAATTGCAATTATAACTCTTAATCTTATAAACAACTGATTTTTTTGACTGAGAAATCCTAGAAAGGCTTTTAGATTTCCAGGATTTTTTAAAGAATAGAGTTTGAAAGCTACTTCCTTAAGCTATGACAACAATTCTTGGTCAAAATTTTGATGGCATATTGGCAGGGTGGGGAAGGGCTAGTACAAAGATTCTTGCCCCGGATCAAACGTATATGTCAGTGCTTATAACCCCTGCGTGCATTTGCCTACTTTTTTTAAGGCTGCAGGTGGAGGAGCGTCCACGACAGGAGGAGGAAGTTGGGACACGGCGTGGTGACTTCACCCGCCAGGAGTACCTACGGCGTCACCAGCTCAAGCTGATGGAAGACCTGGACAAGGTGCTGCGGCAGAAGCCCACCACGGTGCGTGCCCTGAAGAAGGGGCGGCCCAAGACGGTCTTCTGTGATGACTCTGCTCTTGCCCGCAGCCCAGTGAAAGGACTCCTTGGTAAGGGGCGCATCTGCCTTGCTTGGGAGGTGTGGAGGGAAAGGCAGGACAGGAATGCCCAGTAGACAGGATTTTTATTTTTGTATTTTAACAAGGCTGCACTCTTCTTTAAGAAACAAGAATAGAGGATGTTTTAGAAGTGGAATGGACCAAAACTCAAGGGCAGAGGAGGAGATGTTGTGATGGTCTTTCATCTCCTTCCTGCAGGACATTGGTGCCAGTGAGGGAATCTTTGATGTCCTCTCTGAGGCTCCAGGGGTAAAGATGGCCCAAATATTCATGGCTGTCCTAGTGACTTCATATCTGTTTCATTTGCTGTCTACTTGTCTGCCAAGATGGGCACATTTTGCACTTGGCTTTTACTGCAGGGCAAATGAATGTTTGTCAATTGAGTTTTATTTCAGGGTGTAGGTGCTAAGTCAACACCTAACTGTCAATATTTTTCTTAGGATCCAAGCTCAGCAAGGTGTACTCCCAGTCAACTCTTTCGCTTTCAACAGTAGCCAATGATCCTGGTAATTCACTTTCCATCAAAAGATCTTCTCGGTGAGTATGCCGTGCTCCTCCACAGCCTTCAGGAATTGTTCCTCTGATGCAAGAAGCCTGCAATGCAACTGGCACTTGGGTGGCTGGTGGATAGCCTTTAGTTCTGAGATCAGGGCCTTCTGCCTGCTTGTATTGTTATTCTTGTTTTTATCTTGCAACTAAGACAAAGTAGTTGAATGCCTTAGAAAACTGGGTTGGTTGTACAGCTGTGGGTTTGTGGAATCAAAGGTGAAATATTGATATTTTCTACAGAGCTGCATCCCCTTCAGGGCCAATGTCCCCCAGTCGGTTGATTTCAAACCAGAGTCGGGAGCGGGACTGGGAGAATGCCTCCACTGCTTCCTCACCCGCTTCCATTCCAGAATACACTGGTAAGTCGCTGTTGTTCCATCCTGCACTTCCCAAACATCCCTGCTCCCTGGCTTCCCTCCTTTGTCCCTCACACAGCTCAGCTGAATCCCACATTTTCCAGATGCCTCAATAAAACCACCTGACATTAGCTACTGTTGTATACCTAGGGGCCTTGGGGGACCTTCAAAACCCATCTTCATGCTGTCCAAGGGATTTGTAAATACACATCGACATCTTTTCCTCTGAGGAAGAGGGAAGATTTTTCTTTGTTGCCTCTGCTGATCCTTCCCTTTTCTCTGCAGGGCCAAAGCTGTACAAGGAGCCCAGTGCCAAGTCTAATAAATACATTATCCACAATGCCCTGTCTCACTGCTGCCTTGCTGGCAAAGTCAATGAGCCCCAGAAGAACCGCATCCTGGAGGTAAGCTGGAGGCGATTAGGATGGTGGATATGTTTGAAATGGGGGAGTGGTTCTTAAAAGGGGCCGTGTACATAGCACGTTTGCCTGAAGGTCTGTAAAGGTTTGCTTCAAAGAAACAAATTAGAATTGAAACTCTTGCCATAAAAGAAACATTTTACCAGTGTCTTTGTATATAATGAGAACGCTAGGCAGGTTTGGAAGAGCATTCTCCCTCAAATCTCTGATGTAAAAGAAAGCATTATGAGAAACTATGCATTGTGGAGCCTCCAAGGGTGATTTTAAGAAGAAAGAAGATGACACTCCTTTGAGTAAATTATTTCTAAGCTTTTTGGAGATTTAAAGATTAGCACCATTGCTTGGAATTGGGCCCAGGAACTGAGTAGTAACTGCTGCAGTTAAACAATGCAGGAGGAATGCACTTGATACAACCAGTCTCAGCTGAACAGTCTTGTTGCTCTGTCTTGCAGCAGCTGAAGCATCTGGAATATCTATCTATCTATCTATCTATCTATCTATCTATCTATCTATCTATCTATCTATCTATCTCTTTAAAGGTAGTTTGCATATACCACATGGGAATTTATCAGTGCATGGAAAACTGCAACCAAGCTATCTCTGACCAGGCCACTGGGGAGCAAGTTGTGATTTTCTAGATGCTGTTGATCTGCAGCTCCCAGATCACAATATGCCCATCCCAGTTTGAGTAGTAGCTGGTAGACCAGCTAAAACTGATGAAACACCATCTCTGCCACGGAGTCCATTTGGATCCATGAGCCCCCCCACCAGGCTACAGATCTTATTCTTTCACAGGACTGCAAACCTGGTTAGAACAAGATAAAACACCACTTAACCCGCAAGACAGACCACCACATCTCAATTACAATGACACTTGTGGTTAACCCTGAGACACTATTCCTGTTATCACTTAAAGAAATGCTGTGTAACTTACAAATCCTTAAATTTCCTAGGTATGATATAAGATGAAAATAAAGGACAGGTGTTTGGGCAGAATGCTGGTTGAGATGTGAAAGCAATTGAACTTTCTGCCAGAAGGGAAGAGATGCCACCTTTGTGGTGGCAGATCCATCATAGCTGAAAGTAGCACACATTTCTCCTTCTATCCATGGATATGAAGAAAACGTTGTTTTGCTTTGTAGTTATCCACAAGAACCTATAACTATTCTTCTAGTACTTGCAGGGCAGATGAGAGTCAGTGTGTGGTAGAGTTTTAAACTAGGACTTGGGAACCCCACATTCAAGTCACGCTGAGCCATCGAACTCCGTGACTCTGGGACAGTCACATGATGTCCTAAGAATAAGGTGGGGAAGCTCCACCTGCCACTTTCAAGCTCATTGGAGGGTACTCAGAATATCAGCGGTAGATAACGACATTTCAAATGCGGCAGGAATGCCTTTATACTTCATTTTGTTCTTACAAAACTGCAAATTACACCTTTCCTCTCTTTCCTGCCATATTAGGAAGTTGAGAAGAGCAAAGCCAATCACTTCCTCATTCTCTTCCGTGATTCAAGCTGCCAGTTCCGCGCACTCTACACGCTCTCAGGGGAGACAGATGAACTCACGCGCTTGGCAGGCTATGGTCCACGAACCATCACTTTGCCCATGATCGAAGGCATCTACAAGTACAGCTCTGATCGCAAGCGCTTTACCCAGATTCCCAGCAAGACCATGTCCATGAGTGTGGATGCCTTCACCATCCAAGGCCATCTCTGGCAGACCAAGAAGCCAGGCACCCCCAAGAAGCCCGGTACTCCAAAATAACCAGCACCTGCCAAGCTTGGTGTCTACTGTCTTCTCTATTTCTACATGAACTTTGGGCTGCTCTTAAGTTGCCAGCCCAGTGTAGATACATGGGGTCTTCCATGATGAGTGGCTTGAGTAGACAGGGCTTCCAAGCATGGGTGTACATTTTGGCATGGACCACTGCTGTCTGGCTGGATCAGAACCAGCTGAGAACCTTTTCTATAGTTCTGATACCTGCACTCAGCATGAGGCAACCATTGACTATCAGCATTGGGGTGGGAGAAAGAAGGAGAGGACAGATGCTCTGGAAACTGCCAAATCCCATGATAAGCTAGCGGCTAAGAGTTGCCATAGTGACGCTGCCCTACATAGGGCTTGGGGGGTGGGTGTGCGCGGTCTGCCTTCCTCCGGCCACCATCTGAATGTCAGGCCACAGCCAGAGAAACCACAGGGCTCTTTTTCTGACTCCTACTTGCCCAGGGACAGGTCCCCAGGCCCTCCCTGGTTCTGTGGTGGATTTCTCATTCCCTGGCTGTCCTTGTTTATATTTATACATACTATACATATATATATATTGGAGCTATTTAATGATTTTTCAATTATTTGTATATAAAAAGGAGCAAATTGCATTTCGAACAATGGGATTGGGTTAATTTGTATATGAGGCTGGCATGGTGGGGTATCACAGCAGGGTGTGTGTATGTATGTTTCTTCCTTCAGTATCTTTCACTGAATGTCTTTTCCTCTTGAACATTTTTAGTCTCCTCCTTCTTGTGCACAAGGGCTATTTGGAGTAGGGATGGGGAAAGGGGTAGCTTTTTAGCAGGCATTTTGGGAATAAAGAGTCTGTCTTTCTGGTGAAGCCCAGCATGCTTTAGCTGGCCACTTTGCGTTGAATGCCTGGAAGCTGGTTGTTGATATAGTCCCAGAGCAGGTCTCTGTGGATCCTAATTTGAGTTGCCAAAAGAAAGAAGACACCTACCACTCTGGGGAACAGTGCGCCCCCAAGTTATCTTCCTTCCCCAGATGCTAGGCACTAGTCTGAAGCATTGGCGCCAAGGCTAGAGACAGTGAATGTAGGTTGCTCCTTTAATCCCTTTTAAGAGAGAGGACATTTTGGTTCAGAGTGCTGCTAGGTCCCATCACCACGTCACTCAAGCCCTTCTTTCCCCCATCCACCTCTGCTTAATCTCAAGGCAGAGCGTGTGGTGGGGGGCACTGTCACACAGCTTGGATTCCCTGCCCTGATTCCGTCTTTGATTCCTGGTCTCTCGTGGTTGCTTGTTGCTGACTGAATGTCATGTAGGTGTTTGGGGGGTTCAGTATAGTGCAGGGTTGGGTTGGTGTAAAAAGCAGGTGGGGACTTTGCCCTGGCTGCTTAATAAAGTAACTTAAATGAGTTTGTTTCTGGTCATTGCTTGGTTAATTTGGGGGGAAAAAGAAGCAAAACACCCAACTTTTAAAAGGGTCCATGGCCCAAGAATGACCGGCAAATGTGATCTGTTCTTTCTGTAATTTGGCATCCAAAGAGAGAAGGAAGGACAGCCATGTCTAAATATTTGTAAGGATGTCATAAGGAAAGGGATTGGACTGGATGGCCCTTAGGGTCTCTTCCAACTCTAGGATTTTAAAATTCTAACACAGCCCTACACACACACTACTGTAATGTTCTTTCCACTTTATAAGCTGGTCATAGGTGGCAAGCCTCTTCCTTAACTGAGGGCAAACATAATTTATGCTTCAAGTTGATGCTTATTGACCGCAGTAGCTACTGCTCTCTTGTAAAGTCACCAGTGACAACAAAATAAGCTGATGCAGATACAGAAAATCAGTCATGCTAGAACTCCTTCCATCTTCCAGAAACATGGGCATGCTGGTTGCGGATGATGGGAGCTTTAGTCCACACTTAAGAGACAAAAACTGCTCCAAGATACATAATTATAAGACTATAGCTGTGAAACAAACTCTTAAATATACAAAGTCATTCTATTACGAGAGCTCAACTTCTCACAAAGAGAGTAATTTTCTCATCTTAAGAGTAAGTTTCATATATAGCCTCACTTTCTGTTCCATGTATACTTAGCACCTTCTTTTTGAGGTTATGATTCTCACTGAGGCAGCAAAAAATCAGACAGAACTTATTGGCAATTAAGCTTATATATGCAGAGCCCAGCAAATGATGTCATTTCCTATCTTTTACCACAAAAAACTACAACACCCTTTTGACAAAATTATTTTATAAATAACATTTTTGGACAGAATAGAGCAGTAGCTTAGGCCATTGCAAGAAAGCAGCTGCTTACATTATGGGCAAGTTTATTCACAGGACATAGTCTGTAGTCTCACTGAAAGCAGTTCATTCACTAAGGACATCCTTAAGACCTCCAAAGATAGCAGGATACTTAGTCATCCTTTAGTCCTCCAAAAACAGCTGAAGGGACGCTTTGCTGCTCCAGCTGAACCTCTGTAAGAAAGAAGAAATGAGAGTTGGTATGGAGGACAAGGAGGAAAAAAAGGATTAAGCTATACCCAGTACCAGCCTTCTCTTACCATCGGGCTCATTGTCCTCACTCTCATCTCCTTCGTCCAAGTCAATGTCAATTTCATCAGGGTTGGCCTGTTTGGTGAGTTCAGCCAATTCACTGCGGGAAGCATCGCTCCTAGAAATAATAAGGGGGAAACTAGTATCTGGCAAAAGGAACAGCTGTATTCTGAGATCCACTCATTCTTAAAGGAAAAAATTCACACATATGGCTTTTGCTAATAAGGCGACCAAGCTATCCACCCAGCTTCCTATCACTCTTCTATACCTCAAAATGTAATAATAATAGTAAGCATCTTTATATCCCACCACCATCTCCCAAAAGGGACTCGGGGCAGCTTACAAGGCACCCCAAGTGCAATATAATAACATAAATAGTACATGAGAATAAAACAATATCACATAAAAATTGCAAACAACAACCACTATCAACACATAAAATAATTTTGAAATGCAGAGGATCTGTAGTTAAAACTAGCTGCTATCAAATCACAACTAAGGTGCCAGAGTGTAACTCCAAGTTACACTGGATATCAGAACATACAGAATAATTAGTTAAGCATTAACATGACAAGCACAGCTATGTGAGTGACCATAATTAATAAAATAACATTTCCAAGTGGTCTACATAGGCCTACAGCACATGGGAACAAAGGGAAAGGAAAGCCTTACTCTTTAATCCAGGGGTCCTCAAACTTTTTAAACAGAGGGCCAAGTCACAGTTCCTCAAACTGTTGGAGGGCCGGATTATAATTGAAAAAAGCATGAATGAATTCCTATGCACACTGCACATATCTTATTTGTAGTGCAAAAAAACCCACTTAAAACATTACAATAATCCAAGTGAAGAACAATTTAAACAAATATAAACTTATTAGTATTTCAGTGGGAAGTGTGGGCCTGATTTTGGCTGATAAGATAGGATTGTTGTTGTTGTTGTGTGCTTTCAAGTTGTTTCAGACTTAGGTTGACCCTGAGCGAGGGCCGGGTAAATGACCTAGGAGGGCCGTATCCAGCCCTCGGGCCTTAGTTTGAGGACCCCTGCTTTAATCCTTCCCGTATAGCACCTCTTACCAACAGCTTTCCAGTGGTTCTCAACCTTTGGGCCTCCAGGTGTTTTGGACTTCATCTCCCACAGTTCATAAAAGCTGGTAAGCTGGCTAGGATTTCTGGGAGTTGAAGTCCAAACCCTCTGGAGGCCCAAAGGTTGGGAACCACTAAACTATACCACACAGCCTTCACATTTGCGGGACTGATTGATACACATTGGTTTTATTTATCAACTTCCAAAAAAATATGGTCTCTAGGGTAGGTGGACCAGAGGATGAACCCCTGATAAGCTCCTGTGGGGGGCAAGGAAAACCACCAGCTGAGTGAGAGGCTGATCTTGTGATCTTGACCTTTACATCAGCATATATACCCTGGGCAAGGGGCATTCGGAGGATTTCAGAAGAGCCCAGTTCCTGCCCTGGATGTTTTGCCAAAATAGAGGGAGGGAGTCTTTGGCCGACACTAATATATACCTGACAAACAGGATCTTCTCCTTCGCTCGAGGCTGATCTCTTTCTGCTTCAGCTGCCAGCTGCTCTGCCCGCTGCTCTAAGAGCTTCATGTCATCCATGCCACTCTGTCCAGGTGCCAAGTCAGACACTGAAAGCAGAAGAGAAGCAGAAGGGAGGAGTAGGAAGGAGATACAGCTGCCACTGCCTTCTGTCCAGTAGCACAGCAAAGCTTACCTGTGCCTGTGGCATTGCTGTAAACTTTAAGCATTTGAGAGGCCATGAAATTGACTTGAGTATTGTAGGTCGCCTGCACGCTTCTTTTGATGCGCAGCATCTCCCGAATAGTGTCTTCATTCCCATGTCGGATTTCAAATTCCTTCCATGTCTGCCAGAAGTTGGCAGTGGTCTAGAGAGAGGAAACAGGTCCGTGTTTCAGGAGCAATTAGTGAAGAAGCAGTAATGCTTGAGCAAAACCTTTCATTTCAGCATTTCTGCATTATCATGGCAAGAGCAATACAGGGAAGATGGAGCTAAATGCAGAAATGTAGAGTCAATTGCTGCTGTTCTACATATTCTCTACATCAGATCTGGCCAGTCCTTAAGCAACAGACTATGGAGAGAACAACTCCTCCCCCCCCCCTTTAAATCTTCATCCCCAAATATATGAAAAGTTACAGAATGTTATATATTTGCAAAAATATCACTGTTACCAATCAATATCTGAAGGGTATAAAGAGCTAGGATGTCTAACCTTTGCTGCTGTTGTGTGCCTTCAAGTACTTTCTCATGGGAATCTTAAAATGAACCTATCACAGAGGTTTCTTTACATTTATTCAAAGGGGCCTAATATTTGCCTTCTTCTGTCAATGAGAGAATTTGGCTTCCCAAAGGCCATTTAGTTGGTTTCAATGGCTAAGCAGGAATTCCACCCTGGTCTCCCAGAATCACCATGATGCTGGCACCTATTTCCAACCTGCCTTCATTTGAACCTAGCTCATCCAAAAGAGCATCTATTTTTTTATTTTTTTCTTGGAAATAAAGAACAATTGTGTGAAGATGCCTAACCAGCTATCTCGTACTTGTAACAGGTCACTTACACGGGGATCAGAAATCTGTGAACAGTAGGAATAAATGGCCCGAGCCCGATCTATTTCACCCAGCTTGCACTCCATATCAGCAAAACGCAGGCACATCTCCCGGGCATGTTCATCTGACAGCACCTGGACGACAAGGTCATTTGTTGACAGTTGTACCCCACCTTTTTCTACTTCCAAAGCAGCTAATAACTAGCAGTAACAGATAAAATGAAAATGCACAAAAACAGTAAGACTATAGTATCAGCAGAAAAAAAGTGCCAGTGTTAAGAAATCGGTAAGCTCTTAAGTGACAAAAGAAGCCCAAGTGAGCAAGAAAATGAGCTCCCTGGGTAGACTGCCCAAAGCAAGAGGGTGGGATATCAATACATAAGAAATTCTCCCCGCTGCTCCCACTGCCCTCATCATTGAATGGGCCATAGAAAGGCTCCAAGGAAATGTTCACAGGAAAAGGCAGTCTCAAGTGAACAAGGGTTTATCAAATTGCACTCAACACTTGGAACTGTATTAGACAACAAGAACACATGGCACAATGTCCCCAGGCTGGTTAGTGGTGATGACACAAGGGTTACACTTCTTTTGTTTTAAGGCAAAGTAGGTATCGTGTCCCCAAGTGACATTTTTGGGTGCCTGGTTTTCTCCCAGATACCAACACACATACACAGTTGGGAAAGAACTGCCCCAAATAAAAATATCTGCTTCTGGAAAGCCCCAATTGTTGTTGTTGTTATTTATTCATTTTTATTTATTTATTCTCATCTATTCAAATAGGGAATAAATATGGGACAAATTACTTTCTCTATAAATTGGGGGATGTAATCCGACCTGCAATTAGCATTGTTTGGAGAGGAAAAAACTAACCTCAATTGCCTTCTCATAGATGCTGCGGGTGTGTGTGACACCGTAGATTTCAGCAGCTCTCTTGATGTAGATATTGTACATGTCATACTGCTCTGAAGGTTGCACAGCCTGAGTGGCTCGCTCATACACTGCCATAGCATGGCGGGCCAAGCCATATTCCTCCTCCAGCTTTGCATACAGGAGATAGATAGCTAAGAATAGATAGACAGATAGATAAGAACAGATAGCTAAGAAAATGCAAGTCATGCTATCTCTCGCTGGCTCTTTGGTCATTCTTTTGTCGCTTATGGGTGTAGAGTTATGGAACTCTTTATATCAGATCAAAAGATATAAACAAACCCTGCCTCCAGGGAGTTAGTCTGACCACATCGCTCTCCTTCAGTGAGGGAGGAGGAGATGGA